ACTCTACTTGTTTTTCAGACAAAGTCTCACACTTTTACCCTGACTGACTACAGACTATGACCCTACTACTTGCAGCTTCTAGAGTAGCTACAAGTACAGGTGTGTACTACTACCAGCTTTTTTTTTTTTTTAACTGAGCAGTAGGCCTCATTAATATTTTGCCCAGATGGACTAAAACTATGATCCTCTTATTGGTACTTTTCAAGTAGCTGAAATTACAAGCACAGGTACTATACTTGGCCTTGCATTCTTTGGTTCACAAAAATATTCTGAAAGAAGTTCGGAGACATTAACAGAAATCAAACCATACATCTAACTTAAATTATTTCCTGATAAAAGATACTTGGAAAAACTGATAGGAACATTTAGTACTTTTTTTATTAGAGGAAAGATATTTTGAGAAACTCTAAAAGCCAAATACAATTCTCAGGTTTTTCCATTTTAAAGAAAAATTTAATTATTATGATTGACAGAAAAAAAATTCAAACTGTGACCGGAACAACTAAAAGATGAGCAATATGAAGCATAAATATCTCCTTGCCTCCTTAGTCTTGTAATTACTAAACAACAGTCATTAGCAGCTAATTCTGTCTTATTTTTCTTAATGGTTTTTGTTGTTTGTGAACTCAAGGCTGTATTTCTTTGACTTCAAAGTAATTTCTGGAATAAAAAATTGCTGACATTGCAGGGTAGCTGGATCATTAAGCTTGTCAGTGATGGCCATAGAAATCATGTTCCTGTGAGGAGCAGGTACTTGTTTAAAATACAGGCTGAGCTGTCATTTCACACATGCCTATCTAGAGAGTTGAGGGTGCTTATTTTTTGTGGGAATTTAACAATAATCTTGAAACTAAAGAGAAGGTTTTCACTAGAAAGGAGGATTAGAGATACTGTATTCTCCATGCTCTCTCATTCCTTCTAGAAAATAACATAGCTAGCTTGGTGTCCCCTAATCCTGAGAGGCCTTCATTCCCATATTCTATCAGGGCAAGTTCTGATAATGTCATGGGAGAGAGGGTAGAAAAGAGAATAAGGAAGAATAATTAGAGGAAGAACTGACTTGGAAAAGAATCTTTATGGAGGAAAAGTGGAGGGGTGGGGAGTCTTGCCTAAAGAGGATGGGGCTCTTATAGCTCTTGTTTTATAGCAGGGGTTGGCAGGTACATCTTGTTTGCATATGCTCTTTCTGGCTGATGAAGTATGCATGACTAGGAAAGGAGATGTGCTGAGAAGCAAAATTTTGCATTTCAGGTAGGGTTGTCCAGTACCTTCCATGGACCACGCAGGTGACCCTATTAGATCTATATCAGATTTGGGGACCAAAAGGTGTTGAGAAGTGCTGCTGGGACTCTGGCTGTTTTTAATCCAGTTTAAAATAACCTTCCCCTCCCCCCCAACTACCCTAATACATCACAAATTCAATTTAGTCTTACAAGGATAGCCTTTTCTTGAAAGCCTATAAACTCAAAGTCTATGGAATAGGCCGTGTATCTTCTATGTCTTCGTCTGAGTTATGGATTCAACAATAGCAGGAATCCAAACAGGACCACAAAGGGAGCTCTGTGGTTACTACAAAAGGCCTGCCTACCGCCACGTTGGATGAGCCAGTATTCATTACACAGTAAATGGTCATGATATTGTGTAATCCAAGCTGGTTTAGAACTCACAATATTCCTGCCTTAGTCTCTGGAATGATGAGATATGTGTGCTACCATATCCAGGTACCTAGGCTCACGGGCTTAAAACTGGCATCTGGCTTCCTTCTACCATTAAATACTTGAGGTCCAAAGAAGCATGATGTGAAAGTAAATATGCTCAAGAACAAGGCCATCTTCCCATGTGATAAACAGTCTAGCATCAGTGTTTGTGAGTTTCCCAAAGAAAGGCAACTTGCTTTGTTGGCCCCAGGAGTCACTGCTTTGGGAATTACCTGCTCCTTAGTAGCTATAAGCAATAAACCTCTTTGTTCTTTCATGTCATGGTGGTGCTAATGGGTTTTGCACTCACCTAAGAGGCAAACTCGTTTTGTTCTGTTGCAAACACACCTGCAAAAACATTACCTAAAATTTGATTCTTCTTTTGTTGTAGTAAAAGTTCATTGTAAGGTACCATAATTCAGTATGACTTAGGTCTTATTACAGAGTGAAATTACCTTCCTCTGGGAAGAGACTTAGGTTCAATATTAGCTAATGTGTGTCACCCATGACACACATGAAATATGGCTGCTGCTTTGACTGCTGTGGATTATGAGAGTCATAATCAATGGTGTCACCATTTTGCAAGTAACTGTGAACATCTCAACAGTTAGAGTTATTGTCAGTATGGATAACTCAGAGAACACAAGTAATATTTCATCCTTCAATCAAGGTAGAAACAATTTTTAAAAAGAGGCTTAATTTTAGAAGAACAATGAAATCATGCAAGTTTGCTAGAACATTCTATCTTTCCTCATCCTAAAATAAATGAAGTCTATGAGGTGGTACTTTGTAATGAATGTAAAGCTCTTTTTTTTTCTTAGTGTGCTAATTATTTAAGTTCCAGGGAAGTCCTCTCATCTACCCATTCTTCAAATTAGGACATTATCTCCCAGGTATTCCCAAACTTATTGCTAAATTTCTACATAGGTTTATCAGTGTTTTTAAAAGTCCCTCTACCCAGCTTACTACAGCTTACTACTGCACTAACTCTGGCTCCTAACATAGTGCCAAACATAAAGCAGGAGTTTATTATATGCAGACTACATTAGGAGGTAGATGAAGGAGCATCACGAGGAGCTACTGGACAGAAATGGCCAATCTCTTTTTACCTGGAATAAACTGTTTTCCAAGTAGCTTGGTGTGATTATGACATAACTCCGGGTGCATGATAGGAATGGGACCAGAAGGGAATAGGAAGCAGAAAAAGAGGTGAGAAAATGACAGTGGGCCTTTGTAAGAGACGAAGGGGTAAGATGAGGCCCGCAGGATGCCAGAGCACAAGTTAGAGAAAATGGTGGATGTACTTTGCAATGTCTGTAGGGTTGACAATCACTATTCATCTCTTTCTCTCCTCTTCTCTTCTTCCTTCCTTCCTTCCTCCTCCCTCTCTCTCTGTTCCTTGTTTGTTTATTCCCCCTTACCATAATATGGTAAGGTCTTTTTGTAGTCTTTTTTGCAGTCCCCATCTCTATTGAAAGGAGAATATGCAAGATTGTGTGGCAACGCTTCAGTGGAACAGAACTCTCATCCACCCCTTCTCCCTCTGCTTCCAAATTTGGAAGGCCACTTGAGTGGGGAAAAAAAGTGGGAGATCCATCATTTGTCATTGCTAAAAACATAAGAACTTTGCTGTTGTTGTTGTTTTAATCAAAGTGATGAGATTGAGGGGGAAGAGGAAGCATTTCTCATTGAGGACATTTTTCTTGTTCCCCCCACCCCCAAAACCAGCAGTGAAAAGAGTTTTATCAGGCTCATTAAGGCCCACGGCTGTGCCTACCCTTCACCTGTAGTGCTTTTCTCTGATTTATTTATTTATTTATTCATTCATTCATTTATTTGTCGGTCCTGGGGCCTGAACTCTGGGCCTGGGTGCTGTCCCTCAGCTCTTCAGTTCAAGGTGAGCACTCTACCACTTGAGCCATAGCATCACGTCTGGCTTTTTCTGCTTATGTGGTGCTGAGAAATCAAACCCAGGGCCTCATGCATGCAAGACAATCACTCTACCACTGAGCCACCTTCCCAGCCCCAGTCTGCTTTATTTTTTAGATTGTGTTAACTTCCTGTGAATGGTCAAAACAATAGTTGAAGTTTCAATATGTGTTGTTTTTCTTCATCCTCTTCTACCCCAAACATCAATCCTATGCTTAGGCCTTAGGAATGGATAGCAACTAGACTGTAGACGCTGCTGTAGACTCTGGCTGGGTGAGCATGAGTCTAATTTCCATGCCAGGTTTTCAAGAACTGTGTGTGTATAACATTATGGCTTTCATTTTCACTTTTTATCTAACACTAATTAGGAAATGAGAATGATTATTTTTTACTAGCAGTGCATTTTCACAAGAGAAACAAGTATACACATAAACTATGATGCAATATTTTTTTCCAATAGAAAATGGATGGGGCCATATGATTGGAGTGTTCCTGTTAACATTATCCTCACATCTGGTCTTTAGCTCTACCCAGCCCAAGCTCCTCCTTAACCTAGAGTTCCCACCATATAGCTGGTCACTCCCTCTCTTCCCCAAGACCTACCTGCTCACTTACTTCACTACTATCCTAGAGCTAACCACCTGGATGGGGACAGACTCCATATTGCTCCCTCTCCAGGTGGAGATATGGCTCCTCTAATAAACCTTATAATAATCTTTCTCCTGTGCCTGCCTGCCTCTGTGTGGTCCCCTGGGAAGGTATTCATGGACCCTAACAGTACACCCAGCAAGAAATATAAAGCTCCTATATGATTATTGATCTAGCTTGCTACATGTATTTTACATTTTTGGGAGCAAGCTGAAGTAAGTTCCTCTGTTTTTTCTATCACTCTTGTCCTAGGTCAACAAATGGAGTTAATACTAATTAGTTTGGCTAATATTATAGTTTCATAAGGAAGCTTAAATGTTTTCCCAAAGCTTGCAACTGTTTCGTTGTACCTGCAAAAGAAATGCACAGATAAGGAGAACCTAATGTTTAATAAAGTTCTTGGAAACTAATTTTATGGAATTGCAATGATAATACTAATAGAGAGAAGAGGGAAAGACTCTATCTGTGTTAGATACCATTCCAACAGGATTAAGGAACTACATCCAGAGGCTCATCCATTTTTATATGTTGGAATTTGTGAGTTACTCAGATCTAAGGATTAGCAACAGTCTTTGTACTATCTGTGTCTCATATTACCCTTCTGATTGTTGGATAAACATATTTTTTATTATCCCTTGCCAGAAAACTTGGTTTTAATAAATGTACTAACAAATGTAAAGTATAGAATTCATAAAGGTAATTAGCCCCAACAACTGGCATACTTACAATTGCATTTCTTCTGCACAAATCTCAGCTTACATGCTGTTCTGTAGGTGGAGAGCCGGATGCGATCCAGATCTTGAGCCCCTAGTGGAAGAAAGAGTATACATATGGTATGCCATGTGTGTGGAAAGGAATTTATAATGTTTGTAAATAAGACAACTGCAGATAGAATCCATGTGTTTGTTTTGCTCTTAGTTAAAATATAAATATTAGTTGAAGACTTGAAAAGGTCCATCCTACATTCCTTAGGGCCAAGGGGGATAAAAGAACATATACATCCAACATTGGAGATCAGATTGTTGACCATGTTCATGGACATGGGCTCATAGCCTCAACTTTGTGGTTTCTGACACATCCAAGAGCAATCTGCTCAAGCTCGGACTTAAACAGCTTGATGATACCAGATACTATCATCAGTCAGCAGGTACTATTTGTCTTCGACATATGGCTGTTTGATACCCACACACTGCATGTTGGGCATCTTCTCTGTGACCATCACGTTTAGAAGCCAATGAGTTTTCTCATTAGTATGATGGAGAAAATGATAATGGTACTTATTACACAGGATTGTTAGAGGATAAATATTGCCAGTGCACTTAGAACACTGTTTGGTACACACTAGATACTGTGTAAATGTCCATTCTTACTACAAATAACTTACAATCTCAGAGAAAGAGATGCTTCTCACAAAACAATCTGCTCTTTCCTATTCAGTGGCTCATTGTCTTCTTGGCATAGAGAGAATATTTCCCCCATATTCTTGAGCTAATTTCCTCACTCTCTCTTCCACTCAAGAATCCAGTTTGGTTCTTGAGACCTACAACATGGGGTCTGAAAGTCCCACTCAGACCAAAGTCTCTCTAAAGGCTCTTCCATCATACCTGCCTAGTAGTATTTCCCCCTACTCAGAATCTCTGCTACGTATTGTTCCCAGTGTTCCTCTTGCCTTCCTGTGGCTGGGCTAATGGCTAGATGGTATCCAAAGCATATTAGACTTTCAACAAAAGTTTGCTTTCTCTTTTAAAATATTTGTCTTTCATAAAGCCACATTTATGCTTCATAACACATATAAAGGCATGTAGCTATAGTTTGACATGAATTACACTTTTCTATGGTGCTGTATAAAGGCTTTAGAATATAATAGAAGCAAGGCCATGAGCTGGGCTGGAAGCAATTATTCTGAGGAGGTCTAGGAAGGACTTGTGCAATGGGTCTCAGGATGAATTAGTGACCATCCCGCACTGACACTGTTTCACATTCCATCCACTCTAATTGATCTCTTTAGATTCACTCAAAAATACTGTCAAGAGCACTATTATTTTATGAAGATCATTACACATTCATTCTTATGGAAGTATATTACTTGACAAACATGTACATTGGTAATGAACACTTCAAAGGCGCAAAAGATAAGACATGCCCTGATATAATGCAGGGATTCTCTTTGAAATGTTTTCAGAAACTGGGCCCTGATGACTCACTTCTGTAATCCTGGCTACTCCAGAGGCTGAGATCAGGAGGATCATGGTTTCAAGCCAATCCAGGTAAAAGAATTCATGAGACCCAATCTCAACCAATAAAACGGCAAGAGTGATGGTGTGCACCTCTCACTCAAGCTCAGTGAGTTAAAGGTAGGAGTAGGCCAGACATACAAGGTATGACAACAGACCCTATTCAAAAAAATAATGAAAACACAAAAAAGGTGAAGCATGATCTCTATGGAAGAATACCTGCTTGGCAAGTGCAAGGTCCTGAGTTCAACCTTTGATACCATCAAAAAAAAGTTCTCCATCAGGTATGGTGTTGAATGCTTGTCCATCTGTACAGGAGTTAGCAATGAGAGGATTCTGGCTTGAGGCAAGCCCAAGGTTGGGGGAAAGTTAGCAAGACCTTATCTTAATCCCAATATGGTGGTACATGTCTGTAGTCCAGGCTATGTGGGAGGTGGAAGTGGTAGGATCATGATCCCAGGCCTGCAGGAATTTGGCAGCATTGGGGCTTGAATTTAGGGCCTCATGTTTATTCAGCTTGCACTCCATCATTTGAGCTGTGCCCCCAACCCTGCTTTTTGCTTTTCTTGTGGACATCTGTGGGTAGATGAAGTCCCATCAACGTTTTTGCCTTGGCTTAGAAACCTGATCCTTTAGATCTCGGCCTCCTGAGCAGCTAGGATTACAGGTGTGAGCCATCAGTGCCTGGCCTTAAGGTTTATTTTTCTTTTATGATATTTTCCTGATTTAGCATTCTGGTAATCTTATTTAAAAGGGAAATTAGCTGACATCTTTTATTTAAAAACTGGAATTTAAATAAATGAGTAAGCAAGGGAAGTTAATAGAGGTTTTCTTTTCACATTGGGATGTTTACAATTACCCTTACATTTTGTGCATAAAATCAATTTTAGCATAAAATCTACATCAATTAATACTTGGATTATAAGAATCCATATTTTTACCTTTCAATAAAAACTGAGCACAGCATTTTCCCCCTTGCTTTGTTTTGCAGTACTCTATTTCAAGCTCATGGATACTGCTTATTTTAAAAAATTATATCACTGGAATATAATTCTTTAGAACATATTTTACTCATCTAAGTGATTTCTTGTATTTGTATCATGCTAATAGTAGAGACTATGGTAAATAATTTATGTTGGAGATAGGGACTATTTTCTTTACATATGTATGTTTCAAGCTTTTCTTTTAAGATTTGTTCTTACTGTTTTTATAAAGGTGATGTACAGAAGGGCTACAGTTACATAAGTCAGGTAAAAAAGTATTTTTCTTTTAGGACAATGTCACTTCTCTTGCTCTCTCCCTAGAAGCTTTTCTAAATAAAAAAAAAGTAAAGTGCATTTATTCAAGGAAATTTGATGCTCTTGCAGGATGGTTCTGAGGAAAGTAAAGATAAGAGCAAAGACAGAGATAAGAGATTGACAGATAGTATCAGTGATAAAGTCCATTCTTCCTTGTTAGCCAGGCTTCCTTGTTGTTCTCTCCCCTCCCCCACTCCTTCCTTCATTTCTTTCCTCCTACTGTCTTTCTATCTCCTCATCAAACCAACAGATTAACTAAGCCCCAAATAACCAATCCCTTTCAGCTAATATTTACTTTAGCACCATCATACTTTGAACATCTTCACACAAATTATGAACGTTTGCCATCTATGTTTTGATAGGACTGTATAAAATCTTTTAGTCATTTAGATTCTTAAACACCTCATTAAAAAAAAAATCACCTAACAAATACTATCAAGTGAAGAGGAAGACTATAAACCCTGTGTTTGAATTCTTTGCTTGCTCTGTTTCAATATTGACTAAATGAATGTGTGTGAGAGAGAGGAAGAGAGAGAGAGGTGGGAGAGAGAGGGAGGGAGAGAGGGAGGTAGAAAGAGAGAGAGAGAGAGAGAGAGAGAGAGAGAGAGAGAGAGAGAGAGAGAGGAGAGAATGAGAATAGGAACTTCTGAACTCTGCCCAGTTATTTGACAGCCGTTCAAAGACTGTGGCTGTGGAAACTCTGGAAGGCTGCAGCCTACAGGGACACTGGCCCTATTTGTGATGTGTGCTATTATTAGTGGCATTAGTGAAAGACCACCTTGAGCTGATTCATCAGTGGAAAAGCAAGAAGGCAGGTAGGATGCTAAATTTCCATGCCAATTATCCTGGGTATTATAACCATGGTGAAAATGAGAGGTGGTTCTTAGGGACTCATTGGATACTTGAGAGCCATAGCAATAAAGGTAAACTTTGAAAGACAAAAAATTAGTATATGGAGAGAACTGGCCAAGAACAAGCCTGACTTCCAGGTCTGTCTGGAAGGCACTCAGAGACAGTCAAAAAAAGCAAAGAGAGCAGGTGAGAACAGAAGAGAATTTTCAGTGTTGTTCCAGGGTGTGTTGTGTTCTTGAAGCAAAAAGTGAAGAACGTACATGGAAATGGTCACACTGTCCACCAAAGTTATGACAGTGGCATCCCTAATGATATTCTTCTAATCTTTATCAATGAGTGCTCTTTAAACCTACAGCATGCGCTGCAAGATTGTACGAGGTACTTTTCAAACAGTTTTTGCTGACAAGTGACTACTTCGACTCAAGAATACATTAAAAGTTGAATGAAGTGGTTCTCACTAGATACTATTTTGAAAATGAACTCTACAATTTGTGGGTGGAGATGGAGGGAAAAACTGGGAGAGGGCAAGGAAAGGGGTGACTATCCCACCCCCAAAAAATACACTCTTTACCTGTTACGCAGCTGTAATCCTTCCTATATCAACTTTATATTGACAACACGAAAATTAAATAAAAAAGAATGAAAGCTGGGGTCCCTAGCTTCCATTATGCATCAGTGACCTGAAGTATCTTCTCCTACAGTTATTTTGCAGTCAGTCACCTTGGGTGGTAAGTTATCGCTGATATGGTGTTTATAAGGGAGGATGGAGGAAACTGCCCCAAAGGACAGACAACCCCATCAGGCAACACTGATTTGTTGGCTCTCCTCAAAGGTGGACATGGTCACAGCTCCTACAACATCTCAGGAATTTTGGAGAACAAAGATGGAGATAATGGTTACATCTTTGTCTGGGATTGTTTAATTACCACACCTACCCTCTCTGTCTTCCCGGTTCTTTGTCTATTTAAACCTATAGCTCCTGTCGGTAGCTTGCCCATAACTGAACATGGGCTGTTTATTTAGCTTCTTTCCACAGTTGCCCACATCTTGTAATAAATCTCTTCCTTCTGCCCTTCACCACAATCATCTCTTTTTTTTGGCATATAGGAATGAGTGCCCAGACCTGACATTCCTGGAGTTTAGAACTAAGATCTCAAAACTCTGGCTACAAGATCAAACCCTTAGCTCCCTTCCAATGATGCCCATGCTGACTACATTCTAGAAAGGACTGTCTGGCCTCCAAGTATTCAACGCAATTTCTTGGGGGCCCATGTTTGCCTTTTTTGATTTCAGGTCCTTCCTTCACCTAGAGGAATTCTCCTTAAGAACTTCTTCCTTGTTAGCCGGCCTTCCAACCCCTCTAATGGTATTGACAATTGTTTAAGATTCTTCCATTAAAACCTACCCATCCCTGGCTCCACAG